TCGGCCTCCCAAAGTGGTGGGATTACAAGTGTGAGCCACCGTGCCCGGCCCAGGAATGCATTTTTGAAACATGTATGAAATGCTAGGAAACTTTATTGAACAAGTTGACTAAAATTTAAAAATCAAAAAGGACACTCACTGCTGTTTATTTCCAGCAGTAATAAAATTTACATTATTTTTTGCTACTATTTAAAACATGACTTCCTCTATGAAAAAAAATCTTGATTTTGGCTACTCTTGAAACACTAGAAACTGTCACAGCTTAACCCACTTGGATGGTAACTGGGCGCTACAGCTGAGAGGTGGCAGGGGCTTTGACTGAGTTAGAGATTTCTGGTTTACCGCAGTTCCTACCCAGCCTGCCTCACTCGCTTTACTTACTCACTCACTCTCACGGGATCTGCTAGCCTCTGAAGCACTGACATTTGTAACCCATGGTGTAGGATTACTGTCCAACTTTTGGACACTCAATTCTCTATGTTTTCAAGAATCTGATATGTAGGCTGGGCATGGTGGTGCATGCCTGCAATCCCAACACTTTGGGAGGCTGAGGTGGGCAGATCACTTGAGTCCAAGAGTTTGAGACCAGGCTGGGCAACATGGTAAAACCCCATCTCTACAAAAAAATGCAAAAAATTAACTAGGCATGGCAGCATATGCCTGTAGTCCCAGCTACTTAAGAGGCTGAGATGGCAGAATCACCTGAGCCTGGGAGGTTGAAGCCCCAGTGACCTGTGATTGCACCACTGCACTCCAGCCTGGGTGACAGAGTGAGACTTTGTCTCACCAAAAAAACAAAACAACAACAACAACAACAAAAGAAGAATCTCATATGTAGAAAATTGCATATACAAAACAAAAAATGAAATTTTTGAAGGAAAAACTGGGATCTTTATATATATTTTTCCTTCTCACTTATTTGTGATTAAACTCTGTATCAATTATGGGGAATAGTTCCTGTGATAACTAACACTAGTGAGGTGGCATCTGAGCAGTGGTATGTTGATACACCCACTCTCTGGGGTATGGGGTATATACTTAAAAAAAATGAAGCCCTGATGTTTAGTCTTTGCTGTTTTTTTCTGATGTAAATAACTCCCATTAAGGCCAATTTTAAGCATCAACATGCCATCACTGAATGTGAGGTTGGAAAGAGATGAGCATAACGGGCTCTGGAAAGCCAGTATGAGCTGGCTCCTGCACAACACTACATCAAAGCAACCTCCCTATGGACAGGGATGCTCTTCCCGAGGCCTCCTGTTCTTACCTGGGCCGCAACCATGTGCTCTGCATCCTCCTTTTTGCTCGTTGCAGGGTAGAACACAATGTTGTCAATGGTCTGTATCAATTCCAACTGCACCACACACTTGATGAGGAGGCTGGCAAACAGTTTCTGATCTATGTTAGATGATAAAGATTAACCCTAATAATGATTCAGCCAATATTGAAGAAATATCCACTGAGCTCCTACTACGTACAAGGAGGGATTTATTTTTTTAAGATATGGGGTCTCACTATGTTGTCCAGGCTGGTCTTGAACTCCTGGCTTCAAGTGATCCTCCCACTTCAGCCTCCCAAAGTGCTGGGATTACAGCATGAGCCAGTGCACCCAGTCAAGGCACAATTCTTAATGTTGTGGCACAGCAATGAATAAACTGGACAAAAAAAATCTCTGCTCCCATGGTGTTGACAGACAATAAATGAAATATTTTAAGGATAAGATATTGTATGTCAAATATTGATGATAGGTAGAGACAGGGATATAAAGTGTCAGGGTAGGATTGCAAGTTTAAGCAAACTAGTCAGGAAAATCTCTATGAAAATGTGATATCTGAGGCTGGGCGTGGTTGCTCACGCCTGTAATCTCAGCACTTTGGGAGGATGAGGCAGGCAGATCACAAGGTCAGGAGATCAAGACCATCCTGGATAACATGGTGAAACCCCGTCTTTACTAAAAATACAAAAAAATTAGCCACGTGTGGTGGCAGGTGCCTGTAGTCCCAACCACTTGAGAGGCTGAGGCAGGAGAATGGTGTGAACCCGGGAGGCAGAGCTTGCAGCGAGCCGAGATCTCGCTACTGCACTCCAGCCTGGGCGATAGAGCAAGACTCTGTCTCCAAAAAGAAAAAAAAGAAAAGAAAAGAAAATGTGATGAGCAAAGACCTGAAGAAAGTGAGCTATGCAGGTTCTGTGTCCTCCAGCAAGTTTCTCTGCTACCCAGTGGGCTACTCCTAAAGACCACCATTGGACTATGCCCTAACCATAGGAAGTTTCAGGTTCCTGCAATAGCCAGTCTCTCTGAAGAGGCCAGAAGCCTTTTAAATACAGATGGGATTTCCTCATGTTGCCCAGGTTGGTCTTGAACTCCTACGCCACAACATCAAGCGGTCTGCCTGCCTCGGCCTCCCAAAGTGCTAGGTTTGCTGCTTTCTGCATTTTCTACTTCTGTATCCCTTAAGAGTAAGAGTGGTCTTTTGTTCCTTTTAGTGGTTAACAACTTTTGAGTAGTTATCAATTTTTTTTTTTTTTTTTTTT